GGGGGGGGGGGTGAGAGAGAACCCGATCGGACGCTCGGGGCTCCCCTGCCTCCCCGCGGCAACCGGACAGGACGACGCAATGGGCCGGGGTTCTAGCACCGATGGTGGGCTGCCTCCATGGTGGGAGATGCAACGCACGCTCGGTGGCGATCCAAACACGCTGACAAGCATGCGGAGCTTGTTCGCTCGGGGATGGGGCAATCGCTTCCAAGAATTGGCAGCTATTCGTGATCACACGGACGGTCACGCACAGGGGCGCCACATTCGGCCGGCATGGCGGGACTAGGGGGCCAAGGCTGCTTTGTTCTTTTTTTCAGCACGCCTTGGGGCACAATAATAATCGGTCAATTGATGCCTCAGAGAGAGTCCCTGGTTCTTCGGAGTGCTTTGCGGTGCCCGACCTGGCTCGCTCACTTGCGCCAGCATGAGGATCTCCCCTCGACACATTCGAAAGGGGGGTCTCCGAGCAGGATTCGAGCATCCCGGGGAATGCACGCGCCTGTGCGTAGCAAGGAGGTGGCTGGGGCCTGTCCGATACGCGCGAAACATCCCCCCACTGCCGAGGCGCAGCCGCAGATTGGCGCTCCACCTTGCACCAGGGTTGACACAAACCACCGAGGCGGACATGGAGAGTGATGTCCATCTGGGAGCGAGGACGCTCGCTGCGCCGCATGGCGGCAAGCCCGAGATCTTTCTCGGATCACCAGCAGCCTTGGGGGCCGGCCAATCGAGGGCCCGTGGCTGGTGCTTCGGACCTTGGCGCCCTCCTCGTCTGGCTGGGTGGCCTCTCCTGGTCCATAGCTCAAGGCCTGTGCCTCTCGAGAAGAGGAATGGAGCGCAGTCTCGCAACCGAAGCTGGAAGGGCGAAAGTGGGCCGCGATGCCGAGGCGTCCCTCCGTCCAGGCCGGGGACCATGACGCGCCGCTGCCTCTCAAGGGGGTCCTTTCCCGCAGACACGCTTGGGGAAGGGTACATGCTCTTGGGCTCGGAACCGCGTTCGGATCCCGGCGAATGCCCACGTTGAACTCACCCAGCAGCCCAGGAGAGCAGGCCCATCTGAGCAAAAGCCTCGGCATGTGCTTCCTGCGGCGAGTGGCCCGGTGGCCATCCTTCATGCTCATAGCCGGTCCTCCTCCGGGAGGCTGGCCGTTTGGTTGTTTGCCACTCGGCTGGTGCCCTGGCTTGGGTGTCATATCACCGGGGAACTCCGATCGGGCGAGGAAATCGACGGCCACCCGCCGGACGTATGGGAGACCCAGTTTCCAGAGCACCGTGGTCCGGACTAAAGGAGCCACCTTGGCAGATTGTCCCCTCGGGGAGTTGGGCGAGTGCATTTACTTGGGCCGGTGGGCGACCTGGCTGCCTGGCCGAATGGGCCTTGCCAACCGGTCACCCGCTCCTCGGAGTGCGGTCGACCTCCATCAATCCCTGCGAGACCTGCCCTGTGGGTCGCCTTTTAACAGGAAGACTGCTTGAAGTGTCTGCCGAGGTTGGACAGCCCGCGAGAGAAGAGGGCTCAGGCATGTCGAGCCGATGGCGCGGCCTGTTCATGTGTATTGGGGCCCGCTCGACCTCGACGGACAAAAGCCCCGTCAATCCCCCGAGAAAGCGCTGGCCGGCCCCCGAGTGGCCCACATGGCAGGGCTATCTTCGGAAGCCCTCTGGCAGTGGGACAGTGCTGCAGGGCCCGGTTCGAGGACAGGCTGACCAGAGAGTACCTCCAAGGCGACTTATGCCCCTGGCAGCGCGAGACGCGAAGCTCCTCATGCCGACGCGCGCGTGTGCGGGGTGCGTGTGTGCTTTTCGGAGCCCGGATGCCGGTCAAAAATCGGAAAAGGGGGGATCTGCCTCGCCTTCCCGCTGGAAAATGAGGCGACTGCGTCCTTTTGGAGGCCGATCGAGGCGTTGGTGCTGCCCTCGGGGCTTCATGATGGCCATTCGATGGCGCTCCAAAGGGTGCTGTCCCCCCTCAAGTCGGCTGATCAGGGAAAAGCCCGGTGCTGTGCCGCATCCTCACACCACCCTTCCGCAGGGGCGATGTCCCCAAGTGAGCCCACTCGGCCCGGGGCACACTGCCACATGGCTTGGCCGGAATCACAGACCATCGGCCGATCGCTATGGCAACCGAACTGGCGATCGGTGGGCGAAGTCCGGCCAGCGTGGGTGCTAAACCACGGGTCGCCGGCTGCCACGGGGAGTGCCTCGGCCAGGCGCTCAGCCCGGCCGGCAGGCCGACATGCTGCCAGACCAAGCAGTCGAGAGCCTGGAAGAACGTCTGCCAGAGGGCGTTGTCCTCGGGGGCGGCCCCATTCAGGTACCCGGTGGGCTGGGACATGCGCATGACGGGGGGCACCAGGTGAAGGGGGAGATCCGACCCGTGGAGCCGGTCAGCCATCAGGGCGAAGGTGTGGGCCTGCTGCCAGGCCCGGTCGGTCCCGAGGCCGATGTACACCAGTACCGGGCGGTCCGTCAAGACCATGAGGTCCTGTCGGATGGGGTCATACGTGCGAAGCCGGGTGGCCGCCGTGCCGAGGACAGGCCGGCCAGTGGGAACCACTCGACGGGGGTGAGCCTCATGCAGCCACACCCAGGAGCTGCCATGCCCCAGGAAGAAGTGCCCTGGCAGACCGGCCACGCCGTCGGCGACCGGCTGGGCGATCGGGCGATCGGACTGCCAGGACCCGGCGGGGTGATGGGATGGCGGCCGTGCCGGGGCCCTGGGCAAGCGGGAGCCGAGCGCCCTTGGGCCTTGCGGACGAGGGGCCCAGCAGTTTGATCGGCCCCTGCTCTGGGGGGAAGACAAAGGAGGATTGCGAAGTTGGCGTGGCCAGGCCGACGGCCAGGCCGTCCTGCCTGGCAACCATCAGCTGGGTATGGCCCGGGGCAATGAGGAGGGCACGAAGGGCGGCGGCGGCCTCGGGGATGCCCGGGAGGGAAATTCCATGGGGGAAGGAATCCTCCCAAGCGAAGAGCACATCGAGGCGGGAATGGGGGGGGGG